CCTTTTCCTATTTCTTATTTTTTAAAACAGAACACTATTATCTCAATGCTATAAATGAATGTAGTTAATATATATATATATATATATTCTTAATTTTGTAGTGATATATGAACGGTGGGGTGAATTATATATATATATATATATATTTTTCAATTTTTCAATTTTTATATTTGTCTAGTCGGGAATAATATAAATATATAATTTTTTTTTTTATATAAATAGTTAAAAAAAGGTTACAAAAGACAAAAAAAAAAATAAAACAAAAATAAAATCACAAAAAAACATATATCCAAAGAATACCTACAAATTTGGAAAAAAAGTTAGTTGAGATTTGCCAAAATAGCAAATGATAATTGGAGCACCATTGTTATAATTTGGCAAAATAACACTATTTATTACAAAATTATAGCAATAACAATGACAATATAGTAATAATCATTAGAGATGCTCTTATGAAAGAGATAGTAAGAAATATAATATACAATAATATTTGGTATCTCTAATTTTTTTGAATGGTTCAAATGTACTAAAACGACATTATTTTAAAGATAAAACAATGTTATTTTATTATATTCGAGTCATTCAAATCACACAAATTTAAATTATCAATCTTTTTTGGAACCAGGAAATATATATATTATTTCTACCACTAGCAGCGTTTGGGAAATAACCTCTTATTGTGCATCGTCAACACCGAGTAATTTGAACAAGTCCACTCTTCTTAATTCGATACAACCTTGAGGGGTGTTTGTTTTGGAAAGATTGGGCATGTGATTGGACTATTAATTTGGATCGGCTAATAATTCGTTATTTGTTTCAAAAGTTTTGTTTCCAATTAATAGTCCATATTTGTAGGACTATGCTATTCCATGGGAGTGGGATAGAAACCTATGGGGACATAATTTTTGAATGACAACACATGGCCGAAGTGTCACCGAAGTGCCAGTCGAGGTGCCACGTGTCCTGGTCATGACGTCGAGGTAATCTCGGCTAGGCCGAGGTTATCTGCGAGAATACGGGAATCCGAGATAAAACGGATAAGGGACAAGTGTCCTAGAATGAGAGAAGACTACAGTTTGGGAAAAGATGAGACTCCTAGAGAGTTTATCCTAATTCTACTGGGAATCCAAGATTAACAGTAATCCTAAGTCCATTAGAGCTAGGTTTCTATTGGGACTAGGATTGTGTTGACTATAAAAGAGAGGCACCCCATGGGTCTAAGGTGTGCTTTTAATATTCTGTCTAGTGAGTTAAGCATTATTGGTTATCTTTGAGAGATATTGAGTACTGACTTGATCGTCGAAGTGTCCCCGGGTGGACGAGCCACCGCCAGAAACTCTTCTTTCTGTTGCAGGTCGTTCGGGCTTAATCTATTCTACCGGTGCTCTCCAGCTGGGTACCTGTTTGGCAATATGGTCAGAAAATCACCTACACAAAACCATAGGATAACTCATCCCATGGAATTAGCTAATAAAATTACATTTTGCCCTCTGATATTTAATTATATATTATATTTAGTAAAATTCAATAAAATTTAAATGTTTCAATTTAAAAAT